ATTTATCGACTTAATAGTATGGATTTGATTTGATATGATTGATTGATTTGACAGATTGATTTGAAGGACGGATTGATTGATTTTCTTCTGTGTACGGATTTCTTCGAGATTGACGTGGATTGATTGAGCTTGGTTTATTGATTTGCCTGCTGCTGCATTGACTGGTTTTATTAATTATGGATTTCCGTATTGCACAGATTCATTGACCATTGACTGATATGATTTGATTGACTGGCATGCATATTGATAGCATAGTCGTGCTTTGATCTCAGTTATAGGTATTAGGTGACCTGCTGAGCTTTGTAAAGCTCATTATATGTAGTTGATATTTTCAGGTCAAGGCAAGGGAGCAGAAGATAGGAATTGATCCAGATCTTCAGGTTTTTGTCTTTTTGATGATTTTGATTCTTTTGTACTCAGGATAGATTTCAGTACTGGTGATTGTAGTGTAGTTCATGAGTATTGTACATGACCTTTTGAGATATGAATCGGCTTGTATATTGATGTATTAAATTTTATAGATATTTGATAGACTGTTTAATTGAAGGTTTTAGATAGCTCTGGTAAATTGTTTGAGAAATTGATTGAGATTCTTTCCAAGTTAGATCTTGGGGCATGACACATTAATGGGTCATTTTTTAGTGGGGAATGAATTCATTGTTTCACAAGTTAAGGACGATGAAGCATGTGAATTTGCATTGTCATTGGTTGTTGTTGAAGTTCTGATTTTGAATGTGGAGGTTGAGCAAATTCTAGTAGATAATACTTATGACAAAAATCTTTCCACTCAAATTTGTGATTCAGTTGTACTAGAACATAGAGATGAGATGCAAGATGCTTCCGAGAGGAACTTACTAATGCCAAATTTACACGTTGGTATGTTTGGAATTAAAGAAAGTGTCATTTTGGTCATTCGTCCTACTTTCTTATTGTTCTTTAAATAATGTTATGTATGTATGATGCATATCCATACGAACTCATATGAAATTGATTTTCCTGATCCTTCAACACATTTCCAACCTGCTTCTTTTTTGGAAGCCAATGATGTTAGATCATGAGCCCTACAATCGATGAAGGATATGAGATAATGAGCAGTAGTTCAAGTGATGAGGGGAATGCAGATTTTGATGATATTTTTAATGATCTCAATGTTAGTAATAATGTTGATCAAGAGAATATCAATGAGATCATTCACGATTATAATGTAAGGACTAATAATATAGAGGAAGGCATAATAATGAATAATTCATATGCTGAGATTCTCAGGATTACCCTATAGTGGAATCCTGTGGTTACATACGACAATGTTGCTCTCTTTAGTACACTACAGGAAAAACGTCATTTTCCGGCGGATTTCCGGCGGAAATAGGTCCGTCGGTTTCATGCGCGTCATAAAAGGACTTTCGGCGCAAAATAATGCGACGGAATTATTTCTGGCGCATTTCCGACGGAATTTTCGCTGGAAAAATATTTCCGTCGAAATTTTTATTCGTCGGAAATTTTATGCAAAAAAAAAATACATTTACGTACACACAACAGCTGCTCCTCAATTCCCGCTCCAGCAGCCCCCGCCAGCAATTGCGACCCGACCCTAGACGACCTGACCGACTGAAAGCAGTTAAAAATTTAAAAGTAAAAATTAAAATTAAAAATCCAATAAGTAACTTAATTGATACCGGCAGAAACAAAAAAATTAAAAATTAAAAATTAATTAACTTAATTAATTCAATAATTTAAGTTATATTTTAAAATAAAAAATATTTAATTTTTAATTTCCGCCGGAAATCCGCCGGAAATTGCATCGAAAAAAATCCGTCGGAAAAACAATCAAAAATTATGTCGGAAATTCGTTGAAAAAAATCCGTCGGAAATCCGCCGGAAAATCCGCCGGAATTTGCGACGAATTTATTTCCGCCGGAAATTCTGTCGGAAATGAGCTGTTTTCCTGTAGTGGTATGACAAATGAGGAATTTGTAATTCCAAATGAATTGGTTAAACATGTCTTCTTTCATTGTAAATCAAAACTACAATTCGTCTTATAAGGATGGCCCATCATAAATAATGTTTAATTTGTGGTGGTTGCTTTGAATAAATAGAAATTTACAGTTGCATGTATACAACATGATAATTTGACTACTAAGTGTCATTGGCATTTACATGTAAGCCTAAGCCAGTAATTGGGTGGTGTTTGGAAAATATTTATCATTAATGTACAAATCTTATTCTACAAGCTGACCATAGGCAATGTAACTCATAGTTGATTAGCTTTTTCGTTATTCCAACCATAAGGAAGCAGATATATATAAAACCCAAAGAGATAATTGGAAGAGTCGAAGCAAAGTTTAACGTAAATGTTTTATACGTGAAAGCATGCGATGCACATCGAAAGGCTATTAAGATAGCTTTTAGGAGTTGGGACGAGTCCTATATTTCTTTGGATTTGTTCATAGAAGTCATTGCTGTAGCTATGCGAGGTACAATTTAAATGACTTGGTCTATCATATTGCAATACATATATGTATATGCATGATGTTATCTTAGTTACCATTGACTCTATATGTTATTTTTTTGTAGCTTTTTCTATCTTTTTATGATTGACTAAATCTATTACTTTTATTAATTTAATTTACTCAATTTACATTGAAATGTTATGCAAAACCATGCTTAGTTTTAAAAAATAATAAATACTAATTCATTCATAAACGAAGGTGTAGTATAATTAATAAACAACTAACAAAAAAAGCACAGCGCTAGAATAACCAACATTACAAAATATTCACCCACCAAACCTACAATGTTAAAAGAATAATAAAAGGTGATTACACTACTACTGGTCCTTCAATAGTTGAAGTATACATGTCTGGAGTTGAGTTTGAGTGGGACAATAACCAAAGTAGAAAGGAAACTTGAACTGCAAATTTTGCAAATCCGCTAGGTTTAAAAACTTCATTCGCTTACCTCCAGTCAAAACCCTCCAGTAAAAAACTTTCTCAGTCATTATTTATATAGGTCTAAAACAAAAACTTCCTCAGCTGGATCCCAAGGATGGTATTGAATAAAATCTTTAAGATCATAATCTGGTTATCCAATAACATTCAAACTAGCTAGGGGTGTCAAAACGGGTCGACGAGTTGATTTTGAGCCTAACTCGACTTGACCTCAGTCTAAACGGGTCAACCCAAACCCGACACGATTTTACAAATGGGTCGAGATTTCTAACTCGGACCCAACCTGCACGGGTTGCCGGGTTGACCCGACCCGTGGCCCGTTTGCAAAATGCCAATTCAAAGATGTTGAGCAGGTGCGAGACCAGTAGACCAACAGGGGGCCGGGGCAAAGGCGATTGGGAGAGAGTGTCGTTGCGAAATGCGGGCGACGGGACAAGGGTCGTGATCTTGCGAGCCTGAGTCACGACACCAACGGCGTGCGCAATCTTGCGGCGTCCGAGCGAGGCCAGCGTGAGGTAGGGCCGAAAATTGGAAACGTGGCTAGGCGATGCTAGCGGCATCCGGGTGAGGCCAACACAAAATTGGGTTAGATCACACGGGATCTGGGTTAAACGGGTCAACCCGAATCAGACCCATTTTTTAAACGGGTCATAAATTTGAACCCGGAATCGACCCGTTTCACAAACAGGTTAACCCGAACCCAAATTTTTTGGGTCGAGTTCGAGTCAGATTTTTAGGTTGTGTCAGAAATTGACACCCCTAATTTGAACTCTCACCTTCCCTTTAACGGCATACTTTGTAAAAACATGTTTGGAGAAAGTGAGCACTAACAAGGCGGTGATCTTTCTCAAAAAAACTTAGATTTCACATATTTACATTGTCTAGCATTCAAAAAATTTTCATTTTCATTTCTATTCCTCTCTACCTCCATCACCTCGGCATGTAAATACCAAAAATTCTATCCTTATATTTCGTCCATACATGCATGCAACATTTGCAAATCTCATTAGCTCTAGCCAATTGCTCAAGCGATCTGCCAAAACATATATACATACACTAATGCAATTATATACTAACCATGTCCACCAAGTCCTTCATTGATATATCGAGAGACTTCTCATTATCAAGCCAGTGCATTATGTAGAAGAAAATGCGAAATAAGACAGATAGCTCCTTAAAATATATAAACCACTTGCTAGAGGAAACTACGTTGAATTTTTACCTCCAATGCATCAAGAGCCACATAAATAGTTGAAGTTCTATTGTACAAAAGAGTTCAAATTTATCTATAAATAACACCCTATAAAAATTTTACAAAGATTTCTAACAAAACAAATAAAATTTAATACTGCTTCCCTTCATCATGGTCTCCCATCACTGGCGCTGTACAAGACTACATGGATTCTAATGCCCAGTGTTGTTAATGTGATTTGACAATATACTATTGTTTTGTTCATTAGACAGGTGCACGAAAATATTTAATGGTCTCCCCTCATCATTCTATATATATATTGTAAGTTGTCCGTCCATTAACGATTATGCTCTCAATACTATTAACATAATTTCTTTCATTGATAATTTAGTTTTTGAGTCGCTCTTAAAAAAAAGATAACTTGCCCTAATTTACATTAACTACCTCTCTTCAATTAACGGCTATATATTTAAAAAAAATAGGAATAGAGTAAGTTATTGGTTTAACGGGCGACTATGTTTAATTTTAATTTTTTTCTTAACATACTTAATCACTTAATTAAGTCTTTAACAATGTTTAAACTAAAAATTTCTCCTAATCTCTAATATTATAAGAGGTTGCGTCACCACTCACCAACATGATATGAACATGCAGATAAGCACAAACAAATAGATTTAAAAGGCCAGAATTAGAAGAATCAGAAGACACTGTACTAACCACAATCCCACGCCAATTGACTTTGTATAATAATTTTAAAAAAATGTTGGCGTGGGTCTCATCTTAAATATCAGAACTAATATATTTTACTTGATTAGAAAGAAGCAAATAATTTGAAAATTATATATTCCTTACCGAAGAGGCTGAGGAGGGGCTCGTTTGGTGGAAATCTATCTGCGTGAGGGTGGAAGAGTAGCAGAATATTGAATGCAAACATGCATAATTGACCAATGGAGTTAATGGGGCTGATGGGGGCAAAAAGATGGCATCTTTTCATTTGGTTGCGGTCAGAGGCCGGTGAGAGAGGGGAGAGAGGAGCAGTACAGTTGAAAGGGAAGGGTGCTTGCACAGCAAGATCTGTTTTTAAGCTGGATGTTCAGTTTTGAATCAGAGTTCTTTGAATCACTGTATGCTTCTTGTTCTTCTCTGGTGTGATAATGGATTATGGGTTGATCTCTCTATGAATCTCGAGTAAAGGAAAGGGCTTTGCTTGAACGAAAGCCATCTGCTTTTCTATGAACCTCTTTTCCTTTTCTACTCGTCTTCTCTTTTTCTTTTGATGGGAGGAAATTCAATCTATATGGAGCTGTCTCTTCTCTTTTGGGAACTCGTCAATGGGAATCTCTAGTTACAGGATTTGTGAAAAGCAAAAGCCGTCGACGTTAGGGTTTTATCTTCTTTCGTTTCCCTCTTCGTCAGTTTGAGTTCTGCAGAGCTAAATCTCCCGCCTTTCTTACTATATCTGAGCTACGAGGGTTTTTTTCCCTGTTTCGTCTGTGATAGGCATGCATCTATCTCTATGGAAGCCCATATCGCACTGTGCTGCCTTGTTCCTAGACAAGAAGAGGACCCCATGGAAAAGCGGCGGCGGCGGCTCTGACGACTCCGGTAAGAAGCGGAGACCCTCGATTCTCCGGCAGCTTCAAGAGAACAAGCTTCGGGAGGCTCTCGAAGAAGCTTCGGAGAACGGCTCCCTTTTCAAATCACAGGATGTGGATGCCGACGCCGGGGCCGGTGAGGCGGATGAATCCATTGGTCGGTCGAGATCCCTTGCTCGCCTTTACGCGCAGAAGGAGTTCCTCCGCGCGACCGCCCGTGTGGTCGACCGCAACTTCGAGTCCTTCGATGCCATCCCTGAGCTTCAGGAATGCTACGACAAGTTCGTCTCCATGTACGCTGATTACCACTCCTCGGAGCGTGTCGATCAGCTTCGAACCGACGAGTACAGTCACCTTGAAGATGATGGTGCCAAAGTATGCCTCGACTACTGTGGCTTCGGCCTCTTCTCCTATCTCCAGAGCTTCCATCAATGGGACTCTTCTGCTTTTAGCCTCTCTGAGATCACTGCAAATTTGAGCAACCATGCACTCTATGGCGGTGCTGAGAAATTCACAGCAGAGAATGATATCAAAGCTCGAATTTTGGAATATTTAAACATTCCTGAGAATGAGTATGGACTTGTTTTTACTGTCAGTAGAGGCTCAGCGTTTAAATTGCTCTCAGAATCTTATCCTTTTCAGACTAACAAGAAGCTGCTGACTATGTTTGATCATGAGAGCCAGTCTGTAATTTGGATGGCACAGAGGGCCAGAGAGAAGGGGGCAAAAACTTATAATGCAAGTTTCAAGTGGCCTTCACTGAAGTTGTATAATTCTGAGCTGAGGAAAAGGATATCGAGCAAGAAGAGGAGGAAGAGGGACTCGGCGGTGGGGCTTTTCGTGTTCCCGGTGCAGTCCAGGGTCAGTGGAGTGAAGTATCCATATCAGTGGATGGCCATGGCACAACAGAACAATTGGCATGTGTTGCTTGATGCTGGAGCTTTAGGTCCCAAGGATATGGATTCCCTGGGATTGTCACTTTACAGACCTGATTTCATAATAACTTCATTCTACAGGGTGTTTGGATCAGACCCTACTGGTTTTGGCTGCCTGCTTATCAAGAAATCGATCATCGGTTGCTTGCAGAATCCGAATGGTGGCACTGGGAGTGGAATGGTGAGGATTTCACCTGTTTTTGCACAGTATTTGAGTGATTCTGTCGATGGTTTAGCTGGTTTTGATGCAACAGAGAAGGACCGGCTTGATGATAATGAGGAATCAGTGATGCCTGGTACCAGCCATGTATCCCAAATGCCTGCTTTCTCTGGTGCATTTACATCGGCTCAAGTTAGGAATGTGGTTGAGACCGAGATGGATCTGGATAATAGCTCTGACAGGGATGGAGCCAGCATCATCTTTGAAGAAACTGAGAGTGTTTCAGTTGGAGAGTTGATGAAGAGCCCGATTTTCAGTGAAGATGAGTCATCTGATAATTCCCTCTGGATTGATTTGGGCCATAGCCCCTTTCGTTCGGAGAATTCTGGTCGCGTCAATGGAGGCAATCTGCCTTCTCCAATACCGCCTTCATGGTTTTCTGGAAGGAAGAATCATAAGAGTCTATCACCGCAGGTACCTTCAATGAAGAAGTCAATGTATGAAGATCAAGTTCTCTCTTTTGATGCTGCAATCTTATCAGTTTCACATGATCTTACCAGTGAGATTCATGAAGAGCCTGATATTGGGATTGCAGGAGAGGAGGCAAGGAAGTTTTCATTTGCTAATGGAGGGAAGACTAACAACTCAACTTCAGCCATTGGAATTCGCAACTTGTATGAAAATGATTCAACATCTGAAATATGCCCGGAAGGCATAATGGAAATGAAAGAAAGAGCAATTAGAAGGGAGACTGAATGTGAATTCAGGTTATTAGAGAGGAGGGAAGGAAACAATACCCGGTTCGATGGTGGAAGATTCTTTGGCATGGAAGACAAGGAACGTGTTGTAAGCATGGGCCGTCGAGTTTCCTTCATCATGGAAGATGCCAAACCTACTGAAACCTTCACACATAATCTAGGTGATGATGATGCTTCCAGTGGTGGTGACTATGAGGATTGGGAAAGAAGAGAGCCTGAAATAGTTTGTAGGCACATTGACCATATTAATATGATGGGGCTAAGCAAAACCACCTCGCGACTCCGATATCTCGTCAATTGGCTCGTAACCGCATTGCTCCATCTGCGGTTACCATCGTCGGATGGTAAAGAAGGGATGCCACTTGTCCGAATCTATGGGCCGAAGATCAAATACGAGAGGGGTGCAGCTGTGGCTTTTAATGTCATGGATAGAGGTGGAGGGATGATTCACCCTGAAACTGTCCAGAAGCTGGCTGAAAGAAATGGGATCTCTTTAGGCATTGGTTTTCTTAGCCACATAAGGCTTATGGACAGTCAGAAAGCACTTCATGGTGCAGTTGAACTGAAAGATCCTTCATTGTGTAGGCAGATATCGAGTGGTAAAAATGCCACTATCAGTGTTGTGGTTGTTACTGCATCTCTTGGTTTTCTAACAAATTTTGTAGATGTCTACAAGATGTGGGCTTTTTTGGCTAGGTTCCTTGATCCAGTATTTGCTGAAAGTGGTAGCTTATCCGCCATTGCTGAGATCTCATAGAACTAGAAAGTATATCAGACAATCTCGGCCTCCGGTGATGCCGAAACATGGCCATTAAGTGTTGCAGAAGTTTGCTTGGATGATGCAGAGACCAAGTTGGATTCTGAACTAGAATTTGGTTTGTATCTTTGCATCATCGCTCGAGTTCCTGGTTAGAATTTATTTGTTCTTGTCAGATTTCCTGGTTATGTTATCTTTTGTTGTTGCATGAAGAGTTTGCTAATGAAGTCTGATGGAGTCCTTTTTGTTTCCATCATTGCTATTTGTATGGCTAAAGCTAAGCAAGAAGCAAACTGTTTCACCATAGATTGATACTTTGTTCATTAAACACAGATCTTCTATCATTCCTCTTTTTTTAGCATGGTAGTTTCCATTAGTGTGCTTTGTTTACACCTTTTCTTTTGTTAGTTTTCTGTTTCTTGCTTTCATTTTCACGTTTGTTAATAAGTGTTTGAAGTTCATATTTTGATAATTCTACGGCTTAAACAATGGTGGAGCAGTTGATCTAAATTTCTGAGTTTTATCAGTAGATTGAAAGCACATCTGTAATAAAAAAGAAAGGTTGTGATGGTGGTTGGTTTTTGAAGAAAATGTGATATATATTTTGTATGTTGCATCATTTGCAAAATGATAGACCGGTCCCTCTTGGACTGGTGATCGTTTATAGCAGGCGGGAGAGATCCCACCTGCATTCAATGCCGCCCCCCTTGGGGTGGGACTCAGGGGTAATAATTCAAGGGAATTTTAGTGGCTAGGACTAGGGGTGTAAACGAGTCGAGTCGAGCTCGAGTCAGAGTGTGTTTGAGCTCGATTTGCTAGTCGAATATCGAGCTCTAGCTTGAACTCGCGACAGTATAACGAGCTCATCGAGCCGCTCGATTTTCCAGTTTCCCGCCCCCGGTTATGTTTTTCCCACCCGGTTTTGAAGTTGATGTGGCTTTCGAAAAGATGAAAAATCTTGTAGATCTCCTCTAACATAATATATGTTGTTGTTTTAGGATAGATCTTTTAAAACTTTTTTTTTTTTTAATTTTACTGTTTTAGTAACGATTAAAGCACCAGCATTTAACAGCATTGATATTCCCGCCAGTTTTTGTTTATCAGCCCAGCTAGTGACGTCTTGAACTTTTTTTTTTAATGTAATAAAAATATTAATAATTAAAAAAATGAACATACTCGCAAGCTCACGAGTTCGAGCTCGACTCGTGAGCTCGATAAGCTCGGCTCACGAGCCCATAGTCGAGCTCGAGCCGGATCAGCTCACTTACGCCCTTAGCTAGGACGGAAATTTGAAAGGGGTAGGGTTGTTTTGGGATTTGCCATATTTTTTGTATGCCTTAATGTGATGCCCCAGATATCAATAGTGAAAGGATTCGTCTGACATTCTGATCGAACTCCATTCCATCTGCCTTGCTCGGACCTGAAAATTTTAACCACATATAATCATATAATGAGCTTACAAAGGCCCAGCAAGTCACAAAGCCTACAACTGGAAATCCAAAGCACGGCGATGCTATCAATATGCAGGTCAATCAAATCAAGATTCATATCATCATGGTCAATGAGTTTATTGCAATGCGGAAATCCAAATGTCAATGAAATCAAGGTCCTATCTACAGACGGAATCAAATCAGTAGGTCAAATGCAGTACGGAAAATCAATAGATCAATAAATCAACTTACCAGCCGGTAAAAAACAAATCGGATAATATCAAGTAAGTGCCTTCAGCCAATCCAAATCATAAGTGCTTCCAGTCGAATTATCTAGTCACATCCGATAGCAGTGGCTAATTCAATCACATAACTCGATCAGTTCAATCGCAATCGTGTACGCTCACTAGATCATAGTTCATGTTGCTATCACTATTATTATACTATCAATCAGTATAGAATGTCAACCGCATGTGTCAATTGATATAGCAAATCAATAGCCTATCATTTAATTGCAATAAGAGATCTCGAGTTGTCCAGAAAACGTACTCTTGCAAATCAGTCATTCAATTCATTCAATACGTTTACTCCGATATCAATATACAATAGTTCAATAACACACCGAGCGAGGACGTGGTTCAATCAAATTGACGAACGTACGATAATCAATCACTATAGGCATTAATCAATCTCCAGATCATACTAGAGCCACTTTTCCAGGGTCAATTATAATCTCTCGAACAGCAGGGAAATTCATGATAAACAAATCGAATCAACTCAATAAGTCAACCGTCTTAGCAATTGAAAACAAATCGATCATTAACAAATGATAAAATCATCAGTGTCACATTGGAGAATCAAATTACTAATCATCTCCATAAAAGTAAATCATATTCTATACGATAAATTCAAAAATCCATACGCGCCAACAATCACATTCAAATCATATCAAAATTCGGAATAAAATCAGTAACGGACGAAATCATGTATCCGTGTATCAATAGCATGTCAGGATCATGTCGGTATCAATAGTTATCCATATGTCATATATAACTCCATATCGTCAATGTCGATTGTCGGTATTATCAATCGCTACAATCTTTATCAATATCAGGATGTCAATCTACTATGAATTAATAGTGCAGAAGTCACATATCAAATATCGGTAGCCGGTATCTATGAATCAATAAACAATACAGTCGAACATTGATAAATTCCGTAAAGCCATAAATCCGCTTCAATAATACAATCCATTTCAAATAATCCTCTCT